ATCTAAATTGAAGACTTTTTTTGAAATATTTCAAAGTTTCCAAATGCTACTCAAAAGTACGACAAACATTTGTAAAATATTTCTTATCGAAAAATATTGCATGATTCATCTCTTATTGCATTGCAATTTCTGCAGCACAATCACTCATGCAAACAACTCAGAGAGTGACAAATTATTTGGAAGCATAATTTGCAACTATGCAAATCGAAAAAGCAAAAGATCCCTTACAAATGTAACCAGAAGATTTAATTATGCATCAATGTTACATTTCGAGTTGACAAAATCTTCCGTTTAATGCCATAAAAATTTTCCCTCCGAATGGATTTGTGTTTACATTCTTAAAATTTTTGCTTTATTTTTAACATTCAAAGATTTTAGAAGAAAAATAGAATTTGAGAAATTTCTCGAATATCTCCAAGAAAAGAGTGTCGAAGTTGAATTGTATTCTGTAAATCAGAAGTCGAAATCATTTTACCATTAAGTAAATGAATAATTAATTTTCCGAAATTCATATTATGAATATTTTGTCGAAATAAAATGAATTTAATTCGAAAAGTTACTTTTATTATGTATCTGTAAATTACAAAAAAAAAAAAGGGGAAAAAAACGCTGTATGTTCAAGTGAAAGTTATTTTAAAGCTTTAAAACTCATCATCGGGAGATTTATATTATTTCGAATCAAAGGCAATAATGTATATATAATTAAGGTCAGGAAGGTCAGGAGAGAGCATAAACTAGATTAGGTTTATTTCCGGAAGCTAATTTTAAATGTTAAGTAATCATAATGATGAATATTTTTTGTTGTACATCTATAATTATCATTAATAATCGTTTTTTATGATAAGCTGATATCATAAAAATTTTTATAAATATCATTCTAAACGAATGAAAGTAAAAATGCCTAAACATTTGTGATTTTTGATTTAATCATATTCAAAAAAGAATATGCCGCTATCCTTACTGTGCTACAAAAAAAAGAAAGATTAATTAAATAAACAAATAATTTTAATTAAATTACAAGATTCATTTATGTGAAAGATATACTTCCTTCATTCAATAAGTATATTTTCAACCTTAATCAAAGCTAACTTTACCTTTATTTACTTCACTTTATATTCATGTAAAAGTGAAAATTTAGGATTTATATTTTTCATGATAATAAATTTTTCATAATTTGGCAGTTTTAACAGGATGGTAAAATAAATTTTATAATGAATTTATCAATGAATTGAAAAAAAAACTAAATGGTACTACAAGCAGAAATATTTTCTGATAATTTATTTTTTTTTTCTGATAATTAGAAGATATTTTCTGATAATTTATTCATTTGAAAAAAAAAAATGAGAAAAAACCTGTCTCCACTTTGAAATATGGAAATTTTCAGAAATATTTCGTCATTTCCAAATTTTTTTAATCAATGGATTGCCAAAAAAAAAAGAAGAAATATGTGAAAAAGTGATGTCAACAGCAAATGTTAACAATTAGCTTTTCTATTTCCTCTACATCATTCAATACTCATAATAATTGCAAAAATTTGCGCGCTGGAAAAAAATACAGTAATTACATTTACCGCCCAAAAAAAAAAAATTAGCAGTAAATACAGTAGTTGAAGAATTTTAAAAAAAAAAAAAATTTGACTTTGAATTACAAAAAAACGAAAAAAAATGTTTTAAAAGTGGAATTTATAAATGAGTTCGAAAAAAAAGTTACAGAATGAAATTTTAAATTTAAAATAAAAATTTCAAATGTTTCCCCCTTCCCTCTCAATTTACTAACTTTCAATCATGATGTAGTTGTTTGTTAAAACTTTTAAGCTGGATATTCTCGAGTTGAAAAACTTTAAAAGAAAATGCATCGCATGATTATTTATAACACACAATAAGATGGGCATTATATTCTAGCATGGAATGTAAATTTTTACTAGGCTTAATTTTGTTGCAGTCTCAGCAGAGTAAGTATGGCCTAGGCCACTACATCTTTCTTTTTTACACAGCGTATATGTAAATGAATTCTACTGAATTTCAATAAAGCTTTTTGTTTAATTCATTTTTTTTTAAATTAAATTTGGATAGTTGGAGATAGTACCGATTTAATTAATATCTCCAGAAAATTAGATTTTTAAATTCCTTAAAATTTAGAATCGTTAATGTGAAGAGATGAAATGCGTAAATTTTGAGGACTAACCCAAGCATCTTGTCAACTAAGCCATCACCTATTGGACATTATCAAAAGATCATTATCATACTTTGGATTATTCCTAAGTCATAGTTTCAACTTTCTTTTTGTTTACATTTTCTCTTCTGCTAAGCTTAAGTCTTCTATCCTTACTTTTATTTTATCATGCTAAAAAGGTATATTCTCTCAGATAACATGTCACTATTGTTATTATCAGGCCACTGATAACATAGATATGGTTTGTACTTTCTCAAATGATATATCACTACTGTTGTTATCAGGCCACTGATAACATGAATATGGTTTTTGAAGTTATTTCATAATATCGCGGGATTCGGAATTACTAATTTGTAACTGGTACCACAAGAAACATTCGCAGTTTGGTTATCAATAGAGGAATAGTGGGCGAGAATGAAAGAGGAACCAGGTATACGAGTAACTCATGATCATATTAAGTTTACAAATGATAACTCACTTCTTGCTTATTTCAACTTTCTACTGAACCTGTATAACGTGATTTAACGTAACTAACGTGAGAATGACGTGGAATTGAAATGAAACTAATAGTAATTGCTATTTGAATTAACAACAATGGTAGTGTTAGTAACAGAAGCATTAACAAATGTGGAAATATCTGATTCTCATCAATCTCCCGAAGGGAATATGGATGAAAGGGAATCGGCGCATATTGTCTTAATCCCTTTCTATTTCCCTTACTTTATTCTTCTATCATTTCGAAAATTTCATTCTTAGCTTATCGCATTCAAACAAATTGCGCCCTTTCCATAGCAAACTATCTTGTAAGCCATTTAGCTTTATTGGCAACTTTGATTATGACATTTTTCCCAAACAAGACTCTTGATTAATCGTAAGAATAGTTAGTCGTCGTTCTCATCATCATTGTCACCATCGTCATCGTTATTTGTCGCCTTTCTGTTTACAACCAGTAGTGTTATACACATGCATATATATATATATATATATATATACACACACGCACACACATACACACGCATACACACACACACACACACACACATACACATACACACACATATCTTAAATTGGAATATCGATTGACCCATCATATTTTAAGAGAAATGGACAACTGAAAAATCATAATCTCATCCATTTCGGTGGGAAACATAATAGAGCACCCTGAACTGAATCATTTCTATTTCAATCCAACAAGAATGATCGTTTTTGATCTGATCGGATCGCTGATCTGATCTGATCAGTTACCCGATCAGATCAGATCGCTTATGAACTGTTATCATTAATTATCAAAACCATCTATTCAACCTCTCGAAGCAATGAATCATAGCACTGAATCATCTTAATGCCGCAAATATTCCTCAAAGACATTTTGTGAACGAAAGGAAGAAGGCAGGAAGGAAGGAATTGATTAAAATCAGTAATGAATGAATGGATACGATATGTGTCGTACTGTCAGTATGTGTCATACTGTCACTATTCACCATCTCCCGTTATCCCGCTATCTCATTCACCGGGTAATCAATTATCGTGTCATCACTACAAAGCATTTGTAGTATCATTGAAATCTTTCCCAGGAGTATACTCTTTACTGCAAGTCTTTCTTCTTCATTATCCAACATCTTTGAATTGGTCATAATTCAAAATGACCAATCGAAGGGAGAATTCTTGAAGTGGACATGTCCATCCACCCTTTTCTATCTGATTTGCATTTATTTCAAATTC